CTTAACTGCTTGACTGATGTCTTCATCATCACTGATTGCTCTTAACCTACACCCAAGCTAGCAGGAGCTGGAAGAGAAAGCCTTTGGAATCAAAGCATTTAATTACCTCCTTTTTCCTTCCCTCCCCTTCCTTGGGAAAGCATCAGTCAGACAGCAGACACAGACAAAAATGTACTCCTCAGGCTACAGCTTTACATTTGTCTAAGACAAGATGTTCTTCCCTCACAGCAAAGCCGGTGGGAACGTGGAGTAGTTCAGCTAAGGGCCAGGTAGGGAATCTAGACAAGTACATGGGTCCTCCAGAGTCTTCATAACAATAACAGTTTCTCAATTGTATTCACAGACTGTCAGGTACACACATGTCAAAGTCTGTACAAAACTATAATGGAAAGCAAACTATCTCTGTATTTTTATATCAGTTGATGTGTATATATGTGCATCTTACATCATTAAAAGTAGGGCTTCTGGGCAGTGCCTATGGCTCAGCAAGTAGGGTGCCAGCCCCATATACTGAGGGGTGGTGGGTTTGAACCCAACCCTGGCCAAACTGCAACAAAAAAATAGCCGGGCGTTGTGGTGGGCGCCTATAGTCCCAGCTACTTAGGAGGCTGAGGCAAGAGAATCACCTAAGCCCAAGAGCTGGAGGTTGCTATGAGCTGGGATGCTTTGTCTACCGAGGGTGACAAAGTAAGACACTGTCTCTGTCTCTTAAAAAAAAAAAAAAGAATAAGGCTTCTTAGACCAGGCATTTCATTTAAATTAGTGTGGAAAGCAGCCCTAGTGATTGTGGACCTGCTGCTTCCTCACCAACTTCGCTGTAGGTGACCAAGCCTGGGGTCAGTTGGTACCAGTTAGCTCTGGCCACCTGGTCCAAGCCTGACCTGGCTTTCTCCCCTGCAGTCCTCCATGATAACAAGCTGACACATACGGACCTCAAGCCAGAAAATATTCTATTTGTGAATTCAGACTATGAGCTCACCTACAACCTAGAGAAGGTAAGATGGGCAGGGTCTGCACCTGGGCAGGGTAGGCAGCTGGGCTGCCTGGCCTTCTGCTCAGCCCTTTCTGTCCTTTTACTTCTTTTTCCCACATTTTCACCCTGTCTGGCTCCAACTGGGCAAAACCAGAGTATAAGTTGAGGGCCGGCGCAGTAGCTTATGCTTGTAATCCTAGCACTCTGGGAGGCAGAAGTGGGTGGATTGCCTGAGCTCATGGGTTCAAAAGCAGCTTGAGCAAGAATAAGACCCAGTCTCTAGGCTAGGCGCCTATAGCTCACCCGGCTAAGGCGCCAGCCACGTACACCTAAGGTGGCGGGTTTGAATCCCCAGCCTGGACCCGCCAAACAACAATGACGGCTGCAACCAAAAAATAGCCGGGCGTTGTGGCGGGCGCCTGTGGTCCCAGCTACTTGGGAGGCAGAGGCAGGAGACTCGCTTGAGCCCAGGAGTTGGAGGTTGCTGTGAGCTGTAATGCCACGGCACTCTACCCAGGTCCACAGCTTGAGGCTCTGTCTAAAAAAAAAAAAAAAAGACCCAGTCTCTAAAAATAGCCGGGCATTGTGGTGGGCTGCTGTAGTCCTAGTTACTTGGGAGTCTGAGGCAAAAGAACCTCTTGAGCCCAAGAGTTTAAGGTTGCTGTGAGCTGTGACGCCAGGGCATTCTACCGAGGGTGACAAAGCGGGACTCTGTCTCAAAAAAAGAAAAAATAAGTTGAAGGAGAAATTTAAGAAGGCTTAAATTGGAAGAGAACTTAGAAAAGGGGACCTCATGTAACTTTCCAATAGAGTAAAAATTCATTTAAGGTTCTTAGTTCTAACTTCCTTCTATTTTTAGGTGTGTATCTCTGTGAGGTAGGAAAGCTGGGCTCCCTTGAGTAACAGAGATAGTGGAGCTCTCAGAGCTAAATCAGCTCTCTCCCCCATGTGTGAAGATATTTTCAGAAAAACTGTATACTCGTCTCTTGAGTGTAGTCTCCAGGTACTTAGAGGCTTGTGCACTGTCTATAAGGATGCCTTCATCCTCTTGTTCTCTTCCTCCTGAAGTACTCTGTTGGACATGAGGATGGCCGTAAAGCAGATTTCCTAGGGCTTGTGAGGGCAGGCAGGAGGTCAGAGTTGATTTTTTATGGCTCAGAAGCTCTTTAGAAAATAGTGGTGGAATTTGGTCTTGGGTGCAGAGGTCGGTGATTTTCCTGCTTTGCTCTTAGAAGCGAGATGAGCGCAGTGTGAAGAGTACAGCTGTACGGGTGGTGGACTTTGGTAGTGCCACCTTTGACCATGAGCACCATAGCACCATTGTCTCCACTCGCCATTATCGAGCACCAGAGGTCATCCTTGGTAAGGGAGGGCAGGGCTGACTAAGTGTATGGGGTAATGTGGGGAGGATGGGTCCCCTAAGCCTCATAACACCTTTTCCCTCCCATTCCCACTCAGAGTTGGGCTGGTCTCAGCCTTGTGACGTGTGGAGCATAGGCTGCATCATCTTTGAGTACTATGTCGGCTTCACCCTCTTCCAGGTAAGGGGTGGGGGGTGCTTTTTTTAGCACCCAGTATTCTATCTTATTTCTTTGTTGTCTGCTGCAGACTTGCCTACTCACTCTGCCATGTTGCCCATCTTTCTGGCAGCTAATCTTTGGCATTCCCTTCTCAGTCCCACACTTAGTTCTCTGTTTCCCAGACCCATGACAACAGGGAGCATCTAGCCATGATGGAAAGGATCCTGGGTCCTATCCCTTCCCGGATGATCCGTAAGACAAGGTGAACCTTGAGTGGGAGGGACTTACCCCTTTTCCTTTTCTCTACACAGAATCAGTCTGTTTCACATCATTTTCTTTTTCTGATACCTCCTGTCCCCCCAGTTACTCTCAGATGGGGAAATACGGGAATTATAACAAGGAGAACCTTCTGATTTGTCACCCTCCCCTTCTGCTCTAGAAAACAGAAATATTTTTATCGGGGTCATCTGGATTGGGATGAGAACACATCAGCTGGGCGCTATGTTCGTGAGAACTGCAAACCATTGCGGGTGAGCTAGTCTGGGGATTAATAATGCCTACCACCCAGAGATCACTTCTTTCTTAAGCTGGTTTGCCCCTGGAATGCACCTCACAAGCAGAATGTTAGGAAAGGAAGGAAGGAAAACTGAAAGAAGACATCTTCGGTCAGTAGAGGAAAGAAAGATAAGAGGGAATGGTTTTGTGGAAGAAGGATCTCAGGCAGCCTGACCTTGAGACAACCAGAGATCAAAGCAATGTCCTGGATTCTTTAGGTCAAACAGAAAAGACTAAACTACCTTTGAAGAGTTTACATTTTAATGAGCTAAAGAAAATTCATAAAGTTGACAGGATATACAAATAGAACTTTGAAAGTATGAAGGAGTAGGGCAGCACCTGTGGCTCAGTGAGTAGGGCGCTGGCTCCATATACTGAGGGTGGTGGGTTCAAACCCAGCCCCAGCCAAACTGCAACAAAAAAAATAGCTGGGTGTTGTGGCAGGAGCCTGTAGTCCCAGCTACTCGGGAG